AGATGGAACATCAGAAGGTCTACAAATAATTTCAAGAAGCTATGTACTTATTGTGGCTCATTTCTTTGTGCGTTTAGTTTGTCTACCCTTAATACAATCTACACACACATCAAAATCAGTAAAGTTTAGATTCAGAAGAATCACATCCTTTACTAATTTTCCTAACATTTCACTAGATATTGACCTAGTCTTTTATGCCACAGATAAATTTTCTATTAATTGAGTTACGCTTAATTCTAACATTATGATACAAGATCAAAAGGATTTTAATAAATAAACCATCAAATTTGAATTTACAGAAATCATCAACAATAATGCCAAAACTCACAAATTATAATTTCTTAAATAAATATCATTACCAAATTTAAATGAAAAACCATTAACATAAAGTTTTTGAAATAAAATCAAATTATGGGAAATTGAATAAACATAAAAATTTTAAAATAATTTAAATAAAATCCATTGTGTAACATTAAACATAGTGTCACAATGGTTTCAACAAAACTTTTTCCCAATTATCATAAATAAGAAATTCTTATTTGAATTTGTGGTTTAGGCCATAAAAAATTCTTGCATATATTGGAAATATAAATATTAGTACTTAAGTCAACCTATCATGTATTAAAAAGAATTTCAACGAGTAATTCGCAATATACAAAAGCCAAAAGCGTACTTTTCTTTTTCGAATTATTCTTTATATGTCATGTAATCTTTCTAAAAGTATTCAATACATTAATAATACTTTTTCATTATTACATTACTTTCTTTTAGTAGATTGACCTAAATCTTTTAATTTTGGGTGTTGTTCACTTATTGCCTTTTCTGACTTATTCCCAAATTTCTTTCTAACTTCTTGAGTCGTCAGATGAACATAATGATTACCTTGCTACTTAAGTTTTGTCTCCTCATAAATTAACATAATGGTCAATTAAATCACTTTCTACTTATCTTAATAGTGTTAATTCGAAATGACCCATACCAAGTAAACAAAAATTGAGATAAATTGAATAAGAAAATTCTTATCTACAATTATCTATAAGGTTCTCAATTTGGTAGCAACATTAGTCATCCTAAGAACATACCCATACATGGTAAAAGTACCAACAAAAATGCATAGTAGTGATATCAATTAATAATTTTCATTTTAAATATTTATTTACAATACGAAAACATTCTTATAATCAAATATTCCTTAGCACTATAACTATGAGGAATAATTATTCGCATAACCATAATGCTTAATCTGTTCGATCTCTCCCAAGCTTTATAGAGAATCTTTTCTTCCTCACTGTTTTTATCAGTAATAATAGTAAGTTTCTCAATTTAAAATGCTAAATCAAGATTTAACACATCTAAATTTTGAACTCAACTTACTCATTCCATTACGAGAAGTTAGTCATATTGAGAATCAGAACAGAAGTAACATGCGCATTAAGGGATGCAATAAAACAAACATAATAAGATAAAATCTTAACAACAATAATGCTTTGAGTTAACAACACGTATGTATAACTTAAAAATATAAATACAATGTATAACTATAGTACCCCTTTGGGTGGCAACTATAAAATACTAATAATGATGCTTACATGTATTTATATGTATACTTTTATTGGTGATGCATTATTTAATTAAACAAATAAGTTACCTTTAGATATCCTATATTTACCTAATTAAAAAATACATACAACCCCTTAATTTTTATTTAATCACTTGAAAATCAATTCCCTTTGAGGAATTATTTCTCATAATTAAAAAAAGTCAATATTCATGAATATCACAAAAATTATAAGCATCCTAATTCATGAAATATTTTAATTATGTTTACTACTAAAATTAATATTCATCAACTATTATGGTTAGGCCACTTTGGTAACTACCAACCTTTACATAATATGAATATTAAATTAGATAGTAACTAATTTATGATTAATTATGTCTATTACAAAAATTAATATTCATCAATCATTATGATTGGACCACTTTAGTAGCTACCAATCTTCACATAATATGAATATTAAATTAGACAGTAATTAATTCATCATTAAGTTATATTTACTACTAAAATCAATATTCATCAACCATTATGGTTAGGTCACTTTGGTAGCTACTAACCCACATATAATATGAATATTAAATTAACTAGTAATTAATTAATTATTAATTTACCCATTTAACATTATACACACATACTCATAATTGTTGATTAAAGTTTAAGCAACTTCGATCTCAAAAACTTAATAGTCCGAAATTTCATAGAAAATATCTTTTTATTTTATATACATAATAAAATATATTATTTTATTTTCGAACTTAAAGATCATAATTGAATCAATTTAAAATTGATTCTACAATATGTATGTATGTTTGGGTACGAAATAATAAGTTATTTACATGTCTAATTTATTAGATTAAATTTCTAAACTCACAAATTATTCTAGAAATTCAAATTCCTAAAATAAATAAATCAATACATATATTTTATGTATTCAATAACTTTAATTTTAATTTATTTTAAATTAAAATCAGAATCTTCAAATCATTGGACAAATACTTATAACAATAATTTAAACCTCTTTAATAAAATAAATAAATACACAAACTTTATGTATTTATTAATTTTTAAATAATAATAATAATGAGTCTTTCTAATCCTTTCACAACTTACTGTTTCTATAAAACAATAGCAAGACAAATGCTATTATTATTATTATTTTTTTAATTCAATGTTCTTTATTAGTCATGCACGAAAATCAGTAACCTAAAGCATTGAAGTTGTTTATCTTACACACATTATGCATACAATTGTACTATTACACATATGTAAATTATGTATCAGTAACCAACTTTCATAATTCAATTTTGGCTCAGAAATTGAGGTACCTAAACCCAAAAACCACACGGACTGATCTAAACATACGATTCTAAAAGAATGGATTATACAATCATTTAATTTTAAAATTATACATATTATTTATGCAACTTTAATGAAAAATAATGAGTTCATAAACCGTTAGCTCTGATACCACATGTAAACTATAATAATTCGTGTTAAGCCATTAATCACAAATTTACATGAATCCCATATCTTAGAACTTCATGATTTTCACATATCTATAATGCATAAATAAATACTAGTTAGATATAAATACCTCGATTCACGATATTAATTCTTGTTGAGATTAAGTCCAACGTCCAGATCCTTTGGCCACGAATTAATCTGCAACTCTGATCAACAGGCAAAGGTGGAAGCTGGTTTCTCTCTCTTGGCCTTTTGCACACATAAAACTTTTTCGTGTTGTTTCATTAATTGTACATAATTGATGGAGTATATGCACTTTTATAAAGGCAGAGAGAGGACCAGTTTTCCTTATAGTAACATAATTATACTTTTCATCAAAGTAAGGAATAAGAAAGGAAAACACTTCTCCAATAAGTAATTACCAAAAAGGTAATTATAAGTTGACCAAAAATAAATAATATTAATTGATATCTATTTACTTACCCACCAAGTAATATGTCACATGTCCAAATCATGTGGGCCACAATTAAATAAATAATCTTACAGTGACTGCCAAATATGGGACAAAAAGTTAGGGAAGGTTTTGGGAAGACAAAAGTGGTGGCTTCAAATGGCATGAAGAAGGTGAAGGAGGGCTCCTCTTTGGGCTTTCAGTGGACCAAAGAGAAGTGTCATAAGACCCCCCAGAAGCACTGATCACACACACACACATATATATAATAGATCAATCCCATCGAATAATATAGAGATCTCACTCTATATGTGTCTTCTATAGTAATCTGTAATAGTATTTATGCTTTTTGTAAAATTTCATGATCTGATCACTAGTTGTTGATTCTGTCATATTTATTCATTTGTTCAGGTAAGATATAACTTCCCTAGATTTCTATATGAGATGTATGATTGATTTTATTTTTTGTAAAAAGTTTCTGAGCCTATCTTTTGGGGATGAAGTCCTCGTTGTAGTTTCTTGGTCAAATATTTGATTTAAATATACTACACACAAATGGTAACAAGTGATTTGTGAGGTACACACAATTTTTTTTTTGTCTGAAAATTAAAATAGATAACAAATAATTAATATTATTAAATATTTTTGAAAAAATATAAAAATATTTGTGGCTTTTCTTTTACGATAAATAATTAATTTCCCTATAATTCAATATGTTAGAAATTTAGTGAAATTTCTTTTCACTTGATAGGGATCACTGCAAGCTTTTCAAACAGATTGATAAGGATCATATATTAATAGCACATAATGTGGAATCGTAATAAAATTCCATTAAACACCACACAAAATTTTCAATTTAGTTTTCCTCTAATATCACAATTATTTGAATACTTTTGTCAAATTTCAAAAGTAAAAACGGTGTAAAACTTGTGTTTAGAAATTTCAAGCACCCATTATCATACATATTGGTTGAAAAATAAATCCAATAACGGATACCAACTTATGGTTATATATTTAATATTAATGAAAGCATGTGCATTCCAGTCATGTGATTTTTTACAAGCAAGAAACACATGCAATCATGCAACTCACTCACATTGAGCTTTTTTTTCAAAAAAACGAAAAATTGTCTTAAAAAGGAAAAAAGAAAAAAAAAAACAGAAAGAAGAAGATCGAAGAAGTTAGAAACAAAAATTTGGGTAACTTTTGTATGAAGCACCTAAATATTTAATTTTAGTGTGAAGTTCTAGCCATCATGCATCGGGCTTTAGAGAAGGATTTTGCGTTGGTAACTTACTAACTGGCGGATCTAGGGGTGCGGCCCACCCCAATTTTTTTTTCACTACTATATATCCTAATTTAGCCCAGCCCCCCAAAAAAAGTTTATTAGTACTATTAGCCCACCTAAACAAGCCCAACCCAAGTCAGCTAACACCCCAAAGCCAAACAAGCCCTAGTCTGGCAGTGTGATAAGAAATCAGAATTTGCAAACCTAAAACCAGGGCCCTTGGGCCTCAGATTTTAGAGGGCCTCATGAAAAAAAAAGAAAAAAAAGAAAAAAAAAAAGAGAATATAAGTTAGGGCAAGTTTGTCAGACGACACAATCTGCTTCGACACTCCGCAGGACGCAGCCTCCGCTATCTCCTCAGGCTCAGGTGACACCGTGATAAGGTATGTTCATCCTCTCTCTCTCTCCTCTCTTCTCTCTTCTCTCTTCTCTCTCCTTTTGCATGAATCGATCTTTTTTTTTTTTTGTTTCCTCTCCCCAAGTCCACTCCGATCTCACAACAGCAGCAACCATACCCCTCTTCCTCATAATTTTTTGCATTTTCATATTCAATCCTACGAAAATTAAGGATCCCTTCTAGTGGGCTGAGGACCTGAGGTAATAATTAACTTTTTCGATCTCTAAATTATGCTCATACTTAAAAGTGCCAAATTAAGGGTTTTTTTTTTTTTAAAAAAAATTTAAAATTTTATTTTTATATGAAGATACATACCACCATCATTGATATTATTTGAAGTTGGCTCAGCTAGAATTTCAGTTAATAATACTGTCAAAGGCTCAAAGCACTTGCCATCAGAATGTACAAACACATGGAAATCAAGAGCAGGCCTTAACAAAACAAAAGTTAATGGTTTTTTTCTATTAATTTGCACAGGTCTTCTGTAGCAATGATCAATCAATCACTGCTACTAAAGTTGACTCCTCATCCTAAAATCAAGAAAGGGGGTAGTTGGCTTCCAAAAAAAAAAAACACAAAAACAAAGCTCCAGTGAAAACTCCTCAAATTTGGAGTATTTGAATATTTGATTTTTTCATTCTATTTTTATTGATAAATGCTTAATTACTTATATCTAGTGTAATTTGCTAGGAGGAATAATAGCAATTTTGTTTGATTTATGTATTTTTAATTTATTTTATTAGGTTAAAAATAACAATGGCTCAACATCAACCTTCAAACAAGAAAGTAAAAAGAATGTCTATTCTCTCATTCTATCAAAAGAGAAGCCAAATGAGTGAGGATGATCAATCGAAAATGGATATACCTAGTGCATCTAACATTGTCAATGATCTTGATTCACAACCTCCCGCCCTACCTCAAGTTATTGAACCCAAGCAACCTCACTCCACTTCTATTGAAAGAGATTCCGGGCTACGTATTCAAATACATGAATACCCGGTGAATCAAAGGGATGGGATTAGACGAGCTTATATCAATTTAGGGCCTTATCAACCTGAACTTTCCAATTATCCTAAATCTTGGAATGGAAAGTAGAATCGGCGATTTAAGTATGAATGGTTCAAACATTTTCCTTGGCTAGAGTATTTTCCTTCAAAAGATAAAGCATATTGTTTTCGATGCTTTCTCTTTGAAGAGAGAAATGCAATGATGAGTCGTTCTTTACTTATTGATGGTTGATATTACAATTGGAAGAGAGTTAATGATGGAGATAATTGTGTATTCTTGAAACACATGGGACTTCAATCTTCACCGCATAGAAAATGCGCCATGCTTTATGGAAATTTAAAGAAATCAGCACAACATATTGAGTCTATTATCAACGAATTTGAGTCTTGAAAGACTCGTCGAGCATAACTTAGATAGATATTTTGTAATTTTTGAATTCAAATATTTATTTAGATTATGTTATAAAACTTTTTTTGCTTAAGAAATTGTGTTATTAAATTTATGTTTAATATTTGCTCACCCCATTGACAATTCCAGGATCCGCCCTTGCATACACCCGACGACATAGTAGCAGCAACACTAATTGGAAAATCGAACCCACCGATCCGGTGAGAAACATGCCTCCTTAGTCATCAGGTATCAAACTCCTACTCTCCCCTACCGATTTCTTGTTGTTTATGTGTTTCTATATTACACACACATATATAAATATATATATATGCATATATATATATATAACCTTTAAATTTTTCTCTCTGTCCTAATAATAATTATAATATAGGTTACTTTTCTGAAAGAAGAGAGTTGCTGGGAATGGGTGGAGTAGGCAAAAAAATATAGGTATGTTTTTTTTGAGATATTATTATACTTGTTTGATTAGATGCTCTATTTTGTACTTTAAGGATGTGACATTAATTATTAATTGCTTTTTCTCATTCATTCTAAAATATTTATGTTCACTCTAGACTTTTTCTTTATTTCTTTCTCCTCTTCTTCTTTCTTCTCTACATTTACTCATGGTGACAAATTACATTTAATTTAGCGAAAATATATATATATATTTTTTTTGGGGGGGGGGGGGGGGATATACTCCCCTTTTGAGCGCAATTTAATGAAAGTAACTTATCAATATATATATTTGAGTCATTTTTTGGAAGTCAGACAAAATTTTGGTTTTAAAATGTCTTTTTTTTTTTTTTTTCAAAGGTTTTATTTCTTCAAAATTGGAAACACCCAGCTCCAGTAATCATTATACATCAGTCCTTATGCACTAGTACATATTTTGGTAGTAATCACCATGGACTAGTACATCCAACTTATGCACTTGTGCATGGACTTCGAATTGAAAAATCCAATTGAACTTGGATATCAGATGTATTCTAATGATTTTTTTTTTTTTTTTGACTCTTTTCCTATCAGATTTAACTCTGAAAAATGTCTACGAACACATGATTTTCATATTGAAGGATGCTTTTAAAAGATGTTCAAGCTTTATGCTTACTTGTGTGTCTTGAGAGAGAGACTATGATTGTTTACTCCTAAGCTGTTTTTGCACACAATTGCAGTGTTAGTTTTTGTAGATTAGGAACAAGTGTCGGAGAATAATCAATGGAAATTTTTTTTCCCATGATTATAAAAATTGAAGTATTCTAAAGGGCTTAAAAATCGTTGTACACTTTTTCATACAATAAATTGGTTTCCATTAAGATAGCATAGTATAGTCTTCATTGTTTTTCTCGTTTGGTTTTTTACATTACAAATTTATGTTATTTTATTTTTCAAAAAAAAAAAGAAAAGAAAAAACGTATGTTTACTTGCATCCTTCGTAAATTGATTAATTTAATAATTAAAATTCAAATTGAGAGACATGCATGTTTAGCCCTTCTACATTATTTCACAGAGAATCCTTATGTTAATTCTATCTGCTGCAAATTGTGCTACTTTCATTTGGTTTAGTGTTTGTTGCTCTAGATATCGAGCAATATTTTATTGCTTAAAAATAGTTTTAAAAAAAATATTTGATTTTTTAGAGCTAGGATGAGCCGATTCCTTGATTCGATAGATGAAAAGGAAATTCTTTTGGGGAGGGTGGTCTTGTCTTCTCAGGAAGGAAAAGAGTGTCACTGCATCACCAACAAGCTTGAATGTAGCAAGCATTTGCTTCTGAATCTCCGTGCATTCAACCATGCGAAGATGACGCTCTATATCATTCTTGTATTCTTGTACTGATGAGCTACTTTCACATTGGTGGAGCCTAAGAACTTAGGTGGGCTCCCCTTTATGAAAGAACTTCTGGCCTTCTCCCAATTATTAGTCTGAACCACTGGTAATGGTATAAGTGTCTGTTGAACACGTGGCTGATTTTGAAGTGCAGCTGCTACAGCCTGAGCAATGATGTTAGCTATCTGAGGAGGATACTCTGGATCCCTATCCTGATTGTGGTCATGATCATGAGGTTCCTGATACTACTGCTCCTCCTCATGAACTATAGGCAACTGTTCCTCCTCCTCGTGGAACAAAGGTGTATGTTGCTCTACTGCAACTTGCTGACGTCGTAGGAAATTCTGACACTTAGGCTCCACCTTCCTTAGCTACCTTTTCTTGCGAATCTGTTCCATTTCCCATCTTCCTACGACTTTAACCATTCGGTTAACACAGTAAGATGGAAATCAGTACGCAGTTTAATGGACCGTAAAAGAATACAATGAACCCTGATACTTAAGCTCTAAATAAACAAATATGCTACGCAGAAGTCGATATACAAAAGATCCCTAGAGACACTTGAACATGGAGTGCTCTGATACCAGTTGTGATATTCCCTAATTTCAAAGCCATAGGTTGATCAAGTCCATATCCAAAACCAAGGATATCAAAACAATTAGTTAATAAATGAACACAGAATATAAAAGGATAAATAAAGAAAAATAAATGTTGAAAGAAAAACTAAAATAATAATTAAATCCTCAATGAATAAAATCCAATAAATAATAAATATCTCTGATACCATTAATCCTCTGAAATACATTTCGATCCATACCATGTGAACCCCTAATAAAATCCCAACTAAAATGAATAACTGTCTAAAACTTAATACTAAAATATAAATAGAATCTTACGTAAATAACTAAAAGAGTGATGATAATTGGTCTCTGCTCTGCACGAACACAAGCTAAGTCTGGAATTGACGATGACCTGAAAAATAAATAGAGACACACCCACAAACAAATTCTTTCTGCTACATCCCAAACAGAGACCTAATGAACGAATACATCCTAGTCAACACATGCAATAGCTACATATTCGGTATACGTATATAAATACACACTAAAGACTGTCACTGGACTATAGGGAACCCTCTATATCCAGCTATGCATCCTAGGGGCAATACATCATTCCTAACCATCGAGAACTCAAGCTCATATCATAGTACATACTACATACATATATATAGAGCCTTATCCTAACAATGGCATATCCATGTTCGTCATCCATATCATGACAATGGCAAAATCCATGTCCGTCATCCTTTGACAATGGCATGACAAGGAATGAGTCTAAACTTATAAGCCAGCTCACCCTTAATATACAACTATATCTTGACAATGATGTATAAATCCGAAACCATATCTTGATAATGGTTCACACACAATCAAATGAATAACAAATCAAGTATAAGATCATAATATACTGTATTTCATAACATACTGTATTTCATAACATACTGTAATGACATGTCTTAATCTTTCTTGTGATTTGTATTTTAAGTGTATATATATATATATATTCATTGTGATTTGTATTTGTATTTAAATTTCTGTTTCTGATATTTTATATTTATTTATTATTATTATTATTTTTTCAGAAGAAGAAGCATGACATAATTAAAAACTACTTCAAAAATTATGTTTTTAATCTTAGGGTCGTCGCCGAGTGGTGTCGAATATGGAAGAACTTCTCTAACCAACAGTATATCACCCACTGATATTTTCCGGTATGCATATATTACTTACAATTTTATTTTACTTTTAAATATTTCAGAGATTTTTTAAAAATTTTATTTTATTAAATTCAATTGATTTATCATTATTTTGAAACAGTGACATCTGTAATGGTTTGAAGCTTCTGTTTAACGGACGTTGCCAAGGAGACCTTCTCGAATGTGCGTCGTCACACGAGTAGAGAAAGGAGAAGGATGAGAGTATGGGAAGATACTAATGGCCACACAAGGGTTTGATCGTAGAAGTATACTTTTAAACATATTTTAGAAGATGCTAAATCTTTTTTTATTTAGAAGTATAGTTTTGAACAGATCCTAATTTTTTTTTTTTTTTTGAATCTTCATTTATTTATTTTTTTTGTCCACTAGATATTACTCCTGCTCAGGTGGTTGAACTAGCTATTAATATCCTTATGGTGGGAGTGATAGGTCGGGATTTATTTTTGTTTCTCAACCGACTGAATTGGTAGCTTTCACTGACTCAGCGAACAGTAAGTACAATGGGTTACATTTATTGTTTTTCTAATAATGTTCATTTATATATTTTATCTTCTTCTCATTGTTTTTTTTTTTTTTTTTTTGATGATAAGACACTACCTCAAATACAAATGGGTTCTTGATGACCTTTATTTTTGGGATGATGAAGATAGATCATAGAAGTTGTTTCATGAGGTAAGTCTGGCACCTACACCAACTTGATGAAACTTCCTTTAAAGCTATAAGAGACCTTTTACGTACCCCAATATTTCCATCCCACATATCTGGACGGGTGGAAAAATCTGCTAAAACAAAACACAACATTAATATACTGATGCAGGACAGTTGGTTGAAGGTTTTGGAACTCGTTTGAACCGTCAAAAGGTCCAAAGGGTGGGCTGCTTAGTTTTTATCGGATGATTTTGAGGAATCTTTTTTTTTAACTCGGAAAGAGTCCAGTTTTATCAGAAACTGCCCAACTCGCAGATATCGGCAGCGTAGAGTGTCGTTTGGCATAATTCAATCATTTAAGGCTTGGTAATGGCGTTTTTTTCCAATTTTGAATATTTTAGGATTTTCTAGAAGACTGTAATTAAGTTTCTTTCCTTATTTTTACAAAATATTTAGAGCAAGTTTGTTTTTGAGCAGTTTCTTTGCATTGCTAATTTCCTTATGTTTTTAAGATTTTCTTTATGCTGTTACGATTTTTATTTATAAATACATGTACCGTAGAGCAGATCATTCATTTAACTATTAATATATTATCAGATTCCTTTGCGAATTCGTTCATTTGTGAACAATCTATCGGTTCCGCTTACGTCATATACAAAAATGGCTATGAGCACTACAACAAGGGTGCCAACAAGAAAGAAAATGAATTAAAAAGTATTTTTTTTTTTAACAAATTTAATAGTGTGTATATATATATATATATATATATATAGATGTATATATGTATAGTATTTTTTTTAAACTTAATTATTGGCAAGTCAGTGATGTGGCTTATAGCAAGAAAATGAATAAACTCTAAAATTCTCTTGTGCTGAGCTAAGAGACGTTTTGACTTCTTACTTGTGGGATAGAGGTATTGGGGTGTATGGTCAAAAGCTCGGCGGTTTTAATGTATACAGGCTATGAAGCACCGACACCCCTCCCAGGTCTTGTACCAATGTCGGATGCATGTCCGAGGCTCGGACACGTGTCCGACACTTCTGTGAAGTGTCCAGAAATTATTTTTTATTGGATACGGGGTGGACACGGCTGGGACACGCAGAGGACACGTACCAGATACGACGAGGTATATTTTGTAATTTTTTTTTTAAGAAAAATGGGGTACCTAATGTAATTTTAGAAGTTTAACTCTTTTGATTCTTTTGTCTGTGATTCTGAACTTCTACTTTTATTAAATTTTATGATTGCATTATGTTTATTTTTTTATTTGATACATTTATCTTAGTACTGGAATTAAATAAACTTTTAAACCGTAGTAACAAAAACAAAGAGAAATCAGAAAACTTTATTTGTGGATGCGTGCAAAATGTAAAGGGTTAAGTATAAAAAAAAAACCTTGATATAGGGTTTGTGTAGAATTAGTCTTTACTTTTTAAAAATGTGCATGTTAGTCCATAAAATTCAAAAAAGGTGCAAATAAGCCCTTTTGACCACCTTTTGACAAAAATTAAATATGAAAATTCTATTTTACCCTTTTGATTTCATTTTACCCCTCACCTTTGAGAATTATGGACTGAACCCATCTCATCCTCGTTATTTTGACTTAGATACCAGCAACTCTTTAAGAGTGGAAACTGAAACACACACACCCCCCATGGTGGGGAGGAAGTGGGAGGAGGCGGCGGCAATGGTGGGGCGGAGGTGGCACCGGTAATTTTGGGAATTTTGTTTTTGTTCTTTTTTTTTAAAATAGTGCTACAGTGTGTGTAGCAGGGGACTATTTGGTTTCGATTTTTATTATATCCAGTTTTAGGTTTCCTTGGTTTAGCTTATCCCAATTTTATACAAATTGAGGTTTATTTTATTCTTGTCCCAAACAAACATAATTTTACACAAATTGGACAAAAGTGTCATTTTACATCGCCAATATTTATAGTTAGTAATTTATTTAATTGAAGTGAGGGTATTATTATCATTTTATACCACACAGGGACTTATCAAATTTTTTTTTTTTATACCACACAGGGACTTATTTACACCAAGTTGATAGTATAGGGGGGTTTTATACCACACAGGACCTTTTGCACGATATCGATAGTAGAGGAGGATTTTTTGCATTTAACCCAAATATAAACTGTAAAGTTGTTGATAACTTTACTTTGTTCTTAATTAATTGAATTATTTATTTTATTGCAATATTTTTTTGGGGGAGGTTAGATTTATGGTATTGTGGATTTTGAATATATATATATATATATATATATATATATATATATATATAATTTTATAGGCGTATCCCCGTCGTGTCCGTGTCCTATTTTTTTGAAATTTGGCGTGTTGCCGTATTCGTTTCGTGTCGTACCTATATCCGTGTCCGTGCTTCATAGTATATAAGTAACACTATATCATTATCTTCTCATAATATTAGTTGGATGTCCTGTAACAAATAATTTTATTTATTATTGCAGTGTAAGGTGAGGGAGGGAAGAACTATTATGCTATTAAGGTTCTGAATAGCTCAAAGGATTACTAATCGTGATATTTTGTACAAAACTTTTGTCTGGTCTGCATTAGTAAGCTCCATCAACTCTTCTATCACATTGTTGCTCCGTCAACTCTTCTCATAATATAAGTATGAATGGTTCAAACATTTTCCTTGGCTAGGGTATTCTCTTTCAAAAGATAAAGCATATTGTTTTCTATGCTTTCTCTTTGAAGAGAGAAATACAACGATGAGTCGTTCTTTACTTATTGATGGTGGATATTACAATTAGAAGAGAGTTAATGATGGAGATAATTGTGTATTCTTGAAACACATGAGACTTCAATCTTCACCACATAGAAAATGCACCATGCTTTATGGAAATTTAAAGAAATTGGCGCAACATATCTATTATCAACGAATTTGAGCCTTTAAAGAGTCGTCAAACACAACTTAGATAGATAATTTGTAATCTTTGAATTCAAATATTTATCTAGATTATGTTATAAAACTTTTTTTAGGTAAGAAATTGTGTTATTAAATTTATATTTAATATTGGACCACCTCATTGACAATTCCAGGATCCGCCCTTGCATACACCCGACGACATAGCAGCGGCAACACTAATCAGAAAATCGAACCCACTGACCGGGAGAGAAACATGCCTCCTCAGTCGTCAAGTATCAAACTCCTACTCTACCCTGCTGATTTCTTCTTGTTTATGTTTCTATATTACACACACATATATATAAATATATATATAACTTTTAAAATTCTCTCTCTTTTGTCCTAATAATATAGGTTACTTTTATGAAAGAAGAGAGTTGATGGGAATGGGTGGAGTAGGGAAAAAAATATAGGTATGTTTTTTTTTTTTTTTAAGATATTATTATACTTGTTTGATTAAATGCTCTATTTTGTACATTAAGGATGTGACATTAATTATTTTTTTGTTTTTTCTCATTCATTCTAAAATATTTATGTTCACTCCTGGCATTTTCTTTATTTCTTTCTCCTCTTCTTCTATCTTCTCTAGATTCACTCATGGTGACAAATTACATCAAATTTAACTCTGACAAAAGCCTATGAACACATGATTTTCATATTGAAGGATGCTTTTAAAAAATGTTCAAGCTTTATGCTTGCTTGTTTGTCTTGGGAGAGAGTATGATTTTATACTCCTAAGCTATTTTTGCACACAATTGCAGTGTTAGTTTTTGTAGATTAGGATCAAGTGTCAGAATAATCAATGCATTTTTTTTTAAAGGGGTTAAAAATCATTGTACACTTTTTCAGACAATAAATTGGTTTCCATTAAGATAGCATAGTATAGTCTTCATTGTTTTTCTCGTTTGGTTTTTCACATTACAAATTTATGTTATGTTATTTTTCAAAAAAAAAAAGAAGGTATGTTTACTTACATCCTTCGTAAATTGATTAATTTAATAATTAAAATTCAAATTGAGAGACATGTTTGCCCCTTATATGTTATATCACAAAGAATCCTTTATGTTAATTCTATCAGCTGCAAATTGTGCAACTTTCATTTGGTTTAGTGCTTGTTGCTCTAGATATCGAGCAATATTTTATTGCTTAAAAATAGTTTTAAAAAAAATATTTGATTTCTTAGAGCTAGGATGAGCCGATTCCTTGATTCGATAGATGAAAAGGAAATTCTTTTGGGGAGGGTGGTCTTATCTTCTCAGGAAGAAAAAGAGTATCACCACTGAAGTGCATCACCAACAAGCTCGAGTGTAACAAGCATTTGCTTCTGAACCTCTGTGCACTCAACCATGTGAAGATGACGCTTTATGTCCTTCTATTGATGAGTTATTTTCACATCGGTGGAGCCTGAGAACTCAGGCGGGCTCCCCTTTATGAAAGAACTTCTAGCATTCTCCTAATTATTAGTCTGGACCACTGGTAATGGTACAGGTGCCTTTTGAACATGTGGCTGCTTCTGAAGTGCAGCTGCTATGCTTGCTGCTACAACCTGAGCAATGATGTCAGCTATCTGAGGACGATACTCTGGATCCCTGTCCTGATTGTGATCCTGAGGTTCCTGATATTGCTGATCCTCCTTATGAACTATAGGCAACTGTTCCTCCTCCTCGTGGAACAAAGGTGTATGCTGCACTACTGCAGCTTGCTGACATCGTAGGAAATTCTGACGCTTAGGCTCCACCTTCCTTAGCTGCCTTTCCTTGCGAATCTGCTCCATTTCCCATCTTCTTTCGACGTTAACCATTTTGTTAACACAGTAAGATGGAAATCAATACGCAATTTAACGGACTGTAAAAGAATACAATGAACCCTGATACTTAGGCTCTAAACAAACGAATACGCTACGCAGAAGTCGATATACGAAAGATCCCTAGAAACACTTGAACCTAGAGCCCTCTGATACCAAATGTGAAATCCCCTAATTTCAAAGCCATGGGTTGATCAAGTCCATGTCCAAAATCAGGGAATATCAAAACAATTAGATAATAAACGAACACAGAATACAAAAGAATAAGTAAAGAATATATAAATGCTGAAAGGAAAATTAAAATAATAATTAAATAATTAAATCCTCAATGAATAAAATCCAATAAATAATAAGTATTTCTGATACCATTAATCATCCAAAATACAACTCGGGAATCCATACCATGTGGACCCTTAATAAAATCCCAACTAAAATGAATAACTGTCTAGAACTGAATACTAAAACATAAATAGAATCTTACTTAAATAATCGAAAAAGTGATGATAATTGGTTTTTGCTCTGCACGAACACAAGCTAAGTCTGGAATTGACGATGACCTGAAAAATAAATATTGGGTCACACCTACAAACAAGATCTTTCTACTACATCTCAAACAGAGACTTAATGATAGTTAACTCATGTAATAGCTACATAGTCGGTATACATATATAAATACACACTAAAGACTATCACTGTACTATAGGGCGAAACACACAACCCTTTATATCCAGCTATGCATCCCAGGGCAATATAACATTCCTAACAATCGATCCTGGAAACTCAAGCTCATATCATAGTACATAAATATATATAGCCATATCCTAACAATTGCAAAATCCATGTCCATCATGCATATTCTGACAATGGCATGACAAGGAACGAATCTAAACTTATTAGCCAGCTCACCCTTAATATACAACTATATCCTGACAATGGTGTATAAATTCGAAACCATATCCTGATAATGGTTCACACACAATCAAATAAATAACAGATCAAGTATAAGATCATCATAACATACTGTAATGATATGTCTTAATCTTTCTTGTGATTTGTATTTTTAGTTTGTGTGTGTATATATATATATATATTCATTGTGATTTGTATTTGTATTTAAATTTCTGTTTCTAATATTTTATTTTTATTTTTATTTTATTTTATTTCTAGAGGAAGCATGACAGAATTAGAAAATTATGTTCTTAGTCTTAGGGTCGTCGCTGAGTGGTGTCGAATAAGGAAGAACTTCTTTAACCAACTGTATATCACCGACTGATTATTTTGAGATTTCACTTCTACCCTATGACAAAAAGGACGCGGAAACTAACCAAGTAAACGCAGAAAATGATCTTTGTATTGACGGAAGGATATTCGTACAAACTCTTGTAAAACAATTTGATAAACTCAAAACTTAATGAAATTCACAGCTAATATAGAAAGAAGAAGAAGACAAAGAGTTGGTTTGATTTCATTGATTTAAGATTCAGTGACATTTTCCGGTATGCATATGTTACTTACAATTTTATTTTACTTTTTAATTTTTCAAAGATTTTTTTAAAATTTTATTTTATCAAATTCAATTGATTTATCATTATTTTGAAACAATGACATCTGTAATGGTTTAAAGTTTCTGTTTAACTTGGGACGTTACCTTCTCAAATGTACCGTCGTTATACGAGTAGAGAAAGGAGGAGGAGGAGAGCATGGCAAGATACTAATGGTCACACAAGGGTTTGATCGTAGAAGTATACTTTTGAACAAATCTTAATTGATGCTGAATCTTCTTTTATTTAATCGTAGAAGTATAATTTTGAACATATCCCAACCAAAAAAAAGAAAAAACAATGGGTTATCCAAGACATTAACACCTTGTGGCTGAATTAGAGATTACTCCTGCTCAAGTGGCTGAATTAGCTATCCAAGACATTAACACCTTGTGGCGGCTTATGGTGGGAGTGATAGGTCGGGATTTATTTTTGTTTCTCAACCGACTGAATTGGTAGCTTTCACCAACTCAGCAAACAGTAAGAACAATGAGTTACATTTATTGTTTTTCTAATAATGTTCATTTATATATTTTATCTTCTTCTCACCATTTTTTATTTTTTATTTTTTATGACAAGACACTACCTAGAATACAAATGGGTTCTTGATGACCCTTATTGGGATGATGAGGATAGATCATAGAAGCTGTTTCATGAGGAAAGTCTGGCACCTACACCAACTTGATGAAACTACCTTTAAAGCTATTTAAGAGACCCTTTACGTACCCTAGTATTTCCATCCCACATATTTGGACGGGTGGAAAAATCTACTGAAACAAAACACAATATTAATATACTGATGCAAGACAGTTAGCTGAAGATTTTGGAACCCGTTTGGACCGTCAAAAGGTCAAACGGGCGGGTTGATCAGTTTTTAACGGATGATTTCGAGAAATCCGTTTTTAACCCGGAAAGAGTCCAGTTTTATCAGAAACTCCACAACTCGCTGATATCGGTCTTTTGGCCGAATTCAATCATTTAAGGCTCGGAAATGGCGTTTTCCCAATTTTGAATATTTCGGGATTTTCGTTAGAAGACTAAACGGATTCGATTTGCTTTCTTTTTTGGTATTTAGTACTTTTTAGTAATTAGGTTTCTTTTATTATTTTTACTGAATATTCCGAGCAAGTTTGTTTTTGAGCAGTTTTCTTGCACTGTTAGTTTTCTTACGTTTTTTGGATTTTCTTTATGTTGTTAGGGTTTTTATTTATAAATACATATACTGCAGAACAGATCATTCATCCAATTATTAATATATTATCATATTCCCCTACGAATTCTTTTTTCTTTCTTGTGGATTCAAGGTACCACCTTATGGATTCAAGGTGCCCTCGTTCCTTTGTGAACAATCTATCGCTTCTACTTACGTTATATACAGAGATGGCTACAAGCACTACAACAAAGGTGCTGGCAAGAAAGAAAATGAATTAAAAAGTAATTTTTTTTAACAAATCTAATAGTGTGTATATAATATATATATATATATGTATACTATTTTTTTAACTTAAATTATTGGCAAGTCAGCGATATGGCTTATAGCAAGAAAATGAATAAACTCTAAAATTCCCTTGGGCTAAGCTAATAGACGTTTTGACTTTTTACTTGTGGGATAGATGTATTGGGGTGTATTCGGTGGTTTTAATGTAGACAAATAGCACTATATCATTAGCTTCCCATAATATTAGTTGGATTATTTCCCTTAACAAATAATTTTATTTTATTTTTGCAATGTAAGGTGAAGGAGGGAAAAACTGTTATGCTATTAAGTTTCTGAATAGCTCGAAGGACTACTAGCCGTGATATTTTGTACAAAACTTTTGTCTGGTCTGCATTAGTAAGCTCCGTCAACTCTTCTATCACATTGTTGATTAGACTAATTTTGTAATACTAACATATACTGCACTAATTTTGTAATACTAACTTATACTGCTCTAGTGATTGGTCATGAATCTGGTCCATGTATTTTGTAGTACACAAATACACACATATATTGCACTGCATGTGTCACGCCCCAAAATCTTAAATACATGAACTCCTGTCTTGTATTAAAGTCTGGCATAACTTTCATTATAGAACCACAACATTACAAAAAAAAAAATAAATCAAATAAAGAGGTAGATTCAACCACCCTCTAATTATTAAATTGATACAACCATAGTATTAAACAACCTTGTCAAAAATAATCCACGATAATTGGACCTAAATGAACTAACTCAAAAGAAAATATCGCCATTCTTATTACAATGCGAAAATTAACTAAACCAAAAAAATACATAAAGCTGGCCAAAATCCATCATCATCATGTGATTTCATCACGTTCCTACTCAACGTGTACCTGAAATGTGATAATAGGGTGAGCTCACAAGCTCAGCAATAAATGCTAAACACAATCATCGTTCAGCAAATTAACCTCACATTGTATTCTTATATATATAAGCAGCTCAAATAAGTGCATTAATCAGATATGTAAATCCCACTTAATTATAAACCCAATAAATATCTATTATTTATTATTTAATAAATCCACATATCTCGCATGAGCCCCTGGCTCCCGTTCAATAAAGTGGTGTGAATCGTATAGTCCCTGACTACCAAAAACACACGTGTGGCTGGATTGTACGTCTACTCCCAGATGATCCCTGATCACGTTCACACAATAAGGGCTCATTAGACCCATGGCCATAACAAAAGGGTAGTGCACTCCCAAATAGGTAGGTCCCTGACCATACCCAAAAGTCATCACTAAGTCAGTCCTGGACTACTCCTCCGACTAATCCAATCATATCCCATGCTTATATATTACACTGAAAATATATAATGATATGTTTATATATACATTAAACAATTAAAAAAAAAAAAATTCCACCACATGATTTGAGAAGCTAGAAATATACCATAATTTATAATATTATTTAACTACTACTTTGCACAATTCCTAATATTTTAAAATAACTATTGAACCTTATTTTACACTATTTCCAGTAACTCAACCAAAGCCTAACAATAGCTTGCTCGTGGGTTTGCTTGCACATACTGGCCCATTTCATTCTCAAGACTGAATTCATTTTCTTAAGTCTCTAACCAATAACCAATCATCCTCTCAAACTTTACAAGAAGACAAAACCAATTCTAGTCAACCCACAGTTTGTACTATAGCTATCAATTATGACTCATGAACCATCTAACACATAAAGAGAAAATCAATTCTTACAAGTTGTACAACAACCACTAATAGAACTTCAGCTACTCCATGACTATTATATTATAAGTTCTGGAACTCTTACCAGACCAATTTGTTTACATCTCATGACATGCGGCTAACCCATGGTACATTAATTATTTAGAAAAAAAAATGAATCTTATGCTCCAAATTGTGCCCTTGTTCACGAATAAAACTATTGTCCTTTGTCCGATCACCACACTGTATCATATTTGTCCACAACTGTGGTTGCTTTATCCATACATGACTGTCAGGAAAACAATATATATATATATATATATATATATATATACACACACACACACACACACACACACACACACACACCCACACACACGCGTATACAAATCCATATACTATTTTAATTCCCTACTACCTTAACAAACCAATAAATAAAATTATTTTACAGTTTCTATGATCCAGACTTTAAAAATTAATTCAGTCAGTTCATACATGTATAAAGTTATATAAAAATATTCCAGATTAGATCCTTCTATCCCAAGTTCACATAAAAATAACTTAAATATAATTATCATCTTGTTCGTAATTATAATTAAAATATTTTATATCAATTTAATAAGACATAATAAAAATAAATTATATAGACGAAGAACATAATATGCCGAGTCACATTTATATACAAAAGTACAAAGCAAGATTAACTTGCCTGGTATAAATAGTTCTTCCTTTCTACGCGACTTCCCGATTACCGTTCCTTTCCCCCGGCTACTGCAGGAAAACACGACGTCAAATCACTCTCTCTGGTCCCTTCTTCTCCTGTTATCGTGCTAATATATCTTTTTTTATATATATAAATAAAACGTATTAGAGAGTTATAGAGATATAAGGAGTCTGGTGAGATAAATTAGTTTTTTTTTTTAAATTTAAATTATTTAACAAACTTTATCACAATCACCCATTTAAATTAAAACAGAGATAACCATTAAATTATATTAAGTAAATAAATATATGATATAAATATATATATATGTATTTTACACGGGTCTTACATTCTACCCTCCTAGAAAGAAATTTCGTCCTCGAAATTTGCGTACCTTATTCGAATAGATGTGGGTACTTTCCCTTCATTTCTGACTCTAGCTCCCAAGTAGCCTCTCTCTCATCCTGATGATTCCACTGTACCTTCACCAGAGGTATCTCTGCCCGCCTCAACTGTTTCACCATACTGTCAACAATGCGAACAGGCGTCTCAACATAGGTCGTATTAGGGCAAATCTGGACCTCTGTGCAGTCAATGACCTGAGTTTCATCCCTCAAGCACCTCCTCAACATAGAGACATGGAAAACATCGTGAACAGCTGATAGTCTAGGTGGTAGAGCCAATCTATATGCCACCACTCCAACCCTCTCTGTGATCTCAAAAGGTCCAATGAATCGAGGAGCTAACTTCCCTTTCTTCCTACCAAATCTCGTAACCCCCTTCATTGGTGATACTTTCAAGAACACCAAGTCACCCACGCTAAACTCCAAAGCACGACGGCGTCGGTCTGCATAACTCTTTTGTCGACTCTGAGCTGTGCGAAGTCGATCTCGAATGATGGCAACCTTCTCCGTAGTCTCTTGCACCAACTCTGGCCCCAAAAAACTACCATCACCAACCTCAGCCCAACATACAGGTGAACGACAAGGTCTACCATAAAGTGCCTCATATGGTGCCATGCCGATACTAGCCTGATAGCTATTATTATAAGCGAACTCAACCAATGGTATGTGATCCTCCCAACTGCCCCGAAAATCTAGCACACAAGCACGAAGCATATCCTCCAACACCTGAATGACCCTCTCAGACTGGCCATCGGTCTGAGGATGAAAAGCAGTACTCAAACTCAAAGGAGTACCAAAAGCTGCTTGGAAACTACTCCAAAATCGAGATGAAAAACGAGGATCACGATCTGAGACAATAGACACCGGCACTCCATGAAGCTTAACTATGTCTCTAATGTAGATCTTACACAATTCCTTTACAGTATCAGTAGCTCGAATGGGTAGAAAATGAGCTGATTTAGTCAATCGGTCCACTATCACCCATACTGTATCATGGTTATGTATCGACCTCGGTAACCCCACTACAAAATCCATTGTCACATGCTCCCATTTCCACTCAGGCACAGGCAAAGGCTGTAATAGTCCTGCTGGTCTCTGGTGCTCAGCTTTCACTCGCTGACAAGTGAGACATCTAGATACAAACTCTGCCACATCACGTTTCATGCCTTCCCACCAGAACTGCCTCTTAAGATCATGATACATCTTAGTGCCACCTGGGTGCACTGTGTACCTAGAGTGATGTGCCTCCTCTAAAATCTCTCTCTTGAGGTCTGCTAAGTCTGGAACACATAGCCTACCTCGAAATCTCATACCACCATCAACTCCATACGCCAAGTCAACATTACCTTCATCATTAACAGACTCAACTGCTTTGGTCTGTAACCTGTCATCCAGAGTCTGAAAATGAATGATCCGGCTGATCAAAGTAGGTTGTACAGTCAAACTACAAAGAATAGCCCCTGTATTCTGAGAACTCGGCATGATAGAAAACTCTGCCAATGCCTCTAACATCATCCACTCCTGAATCATCATAAAGGCAACTAATCCTCTCGGTTTCCGACTCAAGGCATCTGCTACCACATTCGCCTTTCCAGGATGATACTGAAGAGTCATATCAAAATCCTTCATCTTCTCCATCCACCTTCGTTGCCTCATATTCAACTCCTTCTGAGTGTAGAGGTATTTGAGGCTCTTGTGATCAGAGAATAACTCAAATTCCTCGCCATACAAGTAATGCCTCCACACCTTCAATGCAAGAACCACTGCTGCCAATTCCAGATCATGTGTAGGGTAATTCTGCTCATGTGGCTTAAGCTGCCTAGAGGCATACGCTACCACCTTGTCATCTTGCATCAAAACACAGCCAAGACCCTGATGTGATGCATCTGTGTAAATCACAAATCTCTCACCACTAACAGGAATGGTAAGAACTGGTGCCGAAGTCAATCTCGTCTTCAGCTCCTCAAATGCCTGCTCACAGCGGTGATCCCAAACAAACTTCACATCCTTCCGAGTCAAACGGGTCAATGGTGCAGCAATCTTGGAGAAACCTTCAATGAAACGCCTGTAGTATCCTGCCAGTCCTAAGAAGCTACGAATCTCAGTGACAGTAGTAGGCCGTTTCCAACTCATCACAGCCTCCACCTTGGCAGAATCTACTGAAACTCCATCCTTAGAGATCACGTGCCCCAAAAACTGAATCTGCTCTTGCCAAAAGTCACACTTCTCAAACTTAGCATAGAGCTGATGCTCACGCAAAGTCTGAAGTGTAATGCTCAAGTGTCTCTCATGTTCCTCCTTAGTCTTGGAATATATCAGAATGTCATCAACAAATACCACAACAAACTGATCCAAGTAAGGTTGAAACACTCGGTTCATCAAATCCATAAAAGCTGCCGGAGCGTTAGTCAACCCAAAAGGCATGACTAAAAACTCATAGAGGCCATAACGAGTCCTAAAGGCAGTCTTAGGAATATCCTCATCCCTAATCCTCAGCTGATGGTACCCAGTCCTCAAGTCAACCTTAGAGAACAACTGCGCCCCTCTGAGTTGATCAAACAAATCATCGATGCGTGGCAATGGGTACTTGTTCTTAATAGTGACCTTATTCAGCGCACGGTAGTCAACACATAAGCGGAGTGACCCATCCTTCTTCTTAACAAAAAGAACAGGTGCTCCCCACGGTGATGTGCTAGGTCGAATAAACCCCCGATCTTGCAACTCTTGAGTCTGCTTCTTCAACTCACTCAATTCAACTGGCGCCATTCTGTAGGGTGCCCTAGAGATAGGTGAAATACCAGGAGTGAGGTCGATGCAGAAATCCACTGCCCTCCTAGGAGGCAAACCCGGAATATCCCGAAACACATCTGCATACTCTGACACTATAGGCAACTGCTCTATAGTCACGCATTGCTCAACCACCTCGATGTGGGCCAGAAATCCCATAGTCATAGTGCCCTCAAACTCCCCACACTTATATCGAGAAGGAAACTGTCCCGGAACTGAGAATACAATAATCCTCTCATGGCAATCCAACTGAGCATGATATCTAGCCAACCAATCCATACCCAGTATAGCATCAAATTCTCTCATACGTAATACTATTAAATCAATAGGATACTCCAACTCCCCAATTGTAACAGGGCAAGCACGACATATTCTATCAAGTGTCGTCGCGCTCCCGAGTGGAGTTGTAATAGATAAGGCATTACTTATATGTCCAGGTTCTAATCCCAGTGTATTCACAAATGATAGTGCAATAAAAGAATATGAAGAACCTGAATCAAATAGTACTCTAGCTATACTGCCATAAATAGTAAGTGTACCTTCCACTGCTGGTGGTGCACGATCCTGTCTCCCATCTGGAACAACTGCATAAACCCTTGCACCTCCTTGTTGCTGTGGTGCCTGACCTTTCTGCTGGTTATTCTTGTGAGGCTTGGGACAATTACGAGCCAAATGTCCTTGCTCACGACAATTGTAGCAATGCCCGCTGAACTGATATGGCTGTGCATCATGAGGTGTGGCTGGTACTAAAGCTGTGGATTGCTCACCTTCACCAACTCTCTGCCGTTTCCCTGCTCACCAAATCTTGTCTACCTCTCTGCCAAGACTGACCCTGCCAGTTTCTCTGAGTCTGCTGCTGCTGACCCCTCTGATTCTGTTGAGAGCTACTCTGATTCTGTTGAGTGCTGCTAGCCCCCTTACCTTTCTGTTCTGCCCTACGCTCCTTCTGTTTCTGAAAGGCAATGTTATTATTCTCCTCTACTGCCATAGCACATTCCACCACTCTAGCATATGTGTCAAAACGATGACCCACCACAAACTTCTTCACATAAGAGACCAATCCTCGCTCAAACTTTCTAACCTTGTGTAACTCATTCGCAACAATGTGAGGAGCGAATCGGGATAGCTCTGTAAACTTCCTCTCGTACTCACTAACTGACATCTCATTATTCTGTTCCAGCTGCGTGAACTCTGCTGCCTTCTTCTCTTTCACTGATTGTGGAAAGTATTTGTCATTGAACCGAGTTTTAAAATCATCCCAGGTCATAGTTGTAATGTCCACAACCATCCTGGTCTCTGACTGCCACCACTGGCGCGCCTCACCAGATAAAAGAAATGCACCAATCTTCCTTTTTTGCACCTCAGTGCAGTCCATCATCTCAAAATACTTTTCCATATCTTCAATCCA